TACTGTTTTATATATATATATATATATATATATATATATATATATACACATAAATATACACAGTACACATATATAAACAAAACTTATTTTGAATGCGATTAATCAATTGACAGCACTAATATATATATATATAAAAATGAGAATATCATGGAAAAGTGAAAAAAAGCAAACTTTCTTATATTCTAGATTCATTGCCCACAAACTGAAATATTTCAAGAGTTTTTTCATTTAATTCTGATGGTTACGACTTACAGTTGAGCTTAGGACAATTAAAAATTCAGTATCTGAAGAAATTAGAATATTCCATTTTGAGCTTGATTAGTTTTGGGTATAATCCTGGGCTAGTTTAGAGCATGCAACATGACTACTGCCTTGACAGTCCTCTTTTCAGAGAAGTTTTGCACTTCATTTGGAGATCAAGGTCTGGAGGAAGACTGGAGAGGCACAGAATCCAAGCTGCTTGAAGTCCAGTGTGAAGTTTCTGAATCAGAGATGATTTGTGGAGCCGTGACGTCTGCTGGTGTTGCTCCATTGTGTTTCATCAAGTCCAGAGTCAATGCAGCCGTCTAGCAGGAGGTTTTGGAGCACTTTATGCCTCCATCTGCTGACAAGCTTTATGGAGATGCTGATTTCCTTTTCCAGCAGGACTTTAGCACCTGTGACAAACCACTTCCAGTGATATGACTGCTTGACTGGCCAGCCAGCTCGCCTGACCTGAAGCCCATCTGGAGTCTATGGGATGTTTTCAAGAGAAAGATGAGAAACAGTGGATCCGACAATCCAGACGAGCTGAAGTCTTCACTAACGCCTCAGCAGAGCCACGCCGCACTGAAGCACTAATTCATGCAGAAGGAGCCCCGACCAAGTATTGAGTGCAGAATTAAACCTACTTTGGAGATCTTGAACATTTCTGTTTCGTAAATCTTTTTTTGATTAGATATTCTAATTTTTTGAGATACTGAATTTTTTACTTTCCTAAGCTGCAAGTCATAACCCTCAGAATTAAAACAAAAACAAAAAAAATCTTGAAATATTTCAGTTTGTGAGCAATGAATCTAGAATATAAGAAAGTTTGCTTTTTTGAATTAAATTACTACAAATAAAGAACTTTTCCATGATATTCTAATTTTTTGAGATGCACCTGTACATACTTACATATACAGTATATATATATAT